TGAGACCCACTGTGTGCTCACTGGACTGGCCTGTCAGGTTGTGTGAGACCCACTGTGTGCTCACTGGACTGGCCTCTAAGGTTTTATGAGACTCACTGTGTGCTCTCTGGATTGGCTTGTAATGTGTGAGACTCATCTGCCAGGTGCATTTTCACAGGGACACCAAGGTGATAGAAAAGCAAAGGGAAACGCACAGTGTGGACAGACTTCCTCCCACCCTTACTACAACTGCGTGTAAATCAGTGCAGGTGAATGGAGCCGCCACGGTATGTATACCTGTCTTCCTCCTCAACAGTTATGGGGGTGGGTCTGTGTGGCAAAAAGACATAGCACTGGGCTGAGCGCCAGTGGCCTACATCTGTAATCCTACCTACTCAAGAGGCTGAGATCTGAGGTTCCAAGCCAGCCTGGGCAGGAAAGGCCTTATCTCCAATTGACCCCCAGAAAAACCAGCAGTGGTGAGGTGGCTCAAAGTACTAGAGCATTAGCCTTGATTATAAGAGCTCAGGGACAGAGCCCAGGCCTTCTTTCTTTCTTTTTGAGGGGGGGGTCCAGTCGTGGGGCCTGAACTCTGGGGCTGGGCGCTGTCCCTCATCTCTTCAGCTCAAGGCTAGCGCTCTACCACTTGATCCACAGCGCCACTTCCGGCTTTTTTCTTTTTGCTTATGTGGTGCTGAGGAATCGAACCCAGAGCCTCATGCAGGCAAGGCAAGCGCTCTACCACTGAGCCACCTTCCCAGCCCCTCCCTTTTTTTAAAATGAAATCTAATTTGATGAGTTGTGTGTATATGTGTGTGTGTGTGTGCATGCATGTGTGTGTGTAAGCACATGTGTGTATTGTTTTCTGGAGTGTCCTTATTTCAGTGTAAGTTGGTAGAATTTCTGAAGCAGTAGGTTCCACTTCCTGTTCTTCCATAGAACTTGTGGTCAGTTCAGCGTCTCTTGGATGTATCATGTGTTTCACAAGGAATTAAATAGGCCAGGCACCAGTGATCACAGCTGTAATCTTTCTGTAATAGCTGCTCGGGAGGCTGAGATCTGTAGGTTGAAGGTTCAGAGCCAACTGTGGCAGAAAAGTCCAAGACTCCATCTCCAATTAACCAGCAAAATGCTGGGCTAGAAGTACTGCTCAAGTGGTAGAACACCAGCTGTGAGCAAGAAAGCCAGTCAAGCAGGAGGCACTGAGTGCAAGCTCTAGCACTAGCAAAAATAAACTACAAGGAAAAACAAGATGAGTGACCCATCCAGTGATGGTTTCTTCCAGTGGTTTCCATCTTGGATAAATTGGCCTCTCATTTGCCAGGGTGAGCAGTTGCCGCTGTTGTAGATACTTGGAAGCTGAGCCTTCTGCCCACTCGATTTAAGTCTAGAAAGAAATCTTTAATAGGTTAAAATTGTTAACCACTTACTTTTCAAATGACCCTATGTACCTAAAATCCCTGTTGCACATTGTTTTGGTTTTAACATAAAGATAGACAGGGCCCCTGGGTGACAGTTGAGAAGTCTCCCGGTGCCAGAGGAAGCAGGGTAGCGAACACGGTGCCAAGTCTAAGCATCAGCTTCTCCACCGGGGCCCTTTTTAGGCTTGCACATGGGCCAACAACACCTAAAGGCTGCAGGCAGATTAGATCAGCTTTTATCACTGTCACTTTTCTAATGTTAGCTGTTGATCATCAGGGTTTTGGCAGTAGTGGGGTTTGAACTCAAAGTCTCAAGCTTGCAAGGCTGGTTGGTGCTCTACTACTTGTGCGTAGCCACAGTCTATTTTACTTATTTTTCAATTAAGGCCTTGAGTTTTTTGCACTTTGAACTACCTCCCTGTGGCCTCTGGTAGCTAGAATGGACAGATGCACCCTACCATACTCAGGTTGGGATGGGTTCATGTTAACTTTTTGCCTAGGCTGGCCTTTAACTTTGATCTGTTTGATCTCACCTCCTCAGTAGCTGGGCTGTTAGGTGTGTGACACCACACTGTGCTTACGTTAGCCATTAATAAGAGGCGTTTCTGCAGTATCCTCAGGAAAGTTACAGAACTGGGACGCTTAACCATTGGATTCTGCCAGCTTGTTAGAAAGAAAGCACCTTAGCCATGTTAAATTATAACCCCTTTGAACAACCTCTCCAAAGATAATAAAAATATAACTTTAACAAGTAGCTGTAAAGTGCAATTCTACTTAAGTAACTTGATTTCCTGTGCCAGCCGTCCCTTCAGGGGTTGTCCACCATTGTCTGAGTGTAACCCCACATTTGTCTGTTGGCAGGAACTACGAAAGCCCAGTTATGCAGAGATTTGTCAGAGAACGAGTAAAGAACCTCCTTCCTCCCCATCACAACCCCAAAAAGAACAAAAGCCAAACACTGTCAGTTGTGGGAAGGAGGAGAAGAAGCTCGCTGAGCCTGTGGAGAGATACAAAGAGCCCCCCGCCCTCAAGCCCACTCCTGGAGCCCCCAAAGATCAGAGGAGGCAGCCAGGGCGTCGGCCCTCTCCCCCAGCCTCGGCCTCGGCTTCAGCTTCAGCATCAGCAGTTGGGAAGCGTCTCCACAGAGAACAGAACACTCCCCCCAAGTCTCCTCAGTGAAGAGCAGATGCCCGGAGGGGCCGGAAGAGCTGCACTCACCACGTGAAACTCCCCAGCAGCACAAAGAGTCACTAGTTAGGAGCCAGCAGTGTCTGTGAGGCCTGTGGGATGCTGCAAGTTAGTTTTTTTCTGTGAGTCGGAATTTTCCCCTCTTGAAAAAAATCTATTTTTCAGGATTTAATTAATATAAACCTTATTTTAGGTTGGTGCTTAACTGGAGGTGATGCATAAGTCTGATTTTTTTTCAGGATAGAAAATGCATTTATCCTAACAAATTGATACTTTTTATTAAGCCTCCATGTGGCTCTGAATGCAAGTTATATATAGTGAGTTTTTCTAAATTAAGGGAACTATGCTACTTTTTTTTTTTTTTGGTTTTGTTTTGTTTTAAATAATTGGTCTGCAAGTGCATATCTTGTCGGTGTCCCAGCAGATGGATGAGGGCTGATGCGCTGGCCCGGGCCTCACAGAGAAAGGGGCTGGCAGTGTCCGGGCGCCAATACACTGGCACGGGAGCTGTGTTCTCATTTAAACTCTGTATCAGGTGATTCTAGCTTTAAACAAATACATAAATAGAGAATAGGAATCTATATTCCTTTTTTGAACTAGTGGGCAGAATGAACCTGCAAAGAGTCCTAGAAAGACATGAAACCTTTGAGTGTTACTATCCTACAAGCAAGTAACCAGCTTCTCACTCCAGTTTCAAGTGGCTGCAATGTAAAATAAATTCAAAGCACATTGTGAATAGAACCTGAATGAAATGCAAACTTTGCTGCCCAGTGACACTGTACCATGAAGTTGAACCTGGTGTTGTTTTGATCCCCGTGGGCGGCTGTGTGCCTGCTCTCCACAATCTCTCATGTCCCCACGCACGCTTGTTAGAGGGTCCACACCGTAGTCGGCTCCATGTGGACACCCTCCTGTTCCTCTACCCGCGCAAGGATTGACAAGTGTAGCCATGAGAGATTGGTGTGTGTGGTTTCTTTCCCTCTTGGGCTGGTGGAGACAAAATTCCCTGCTTTTTTTACCTCCAGTACGAGGGTCTCATTGAGTCACTTCTAGAAGTGCCGCACTTCTGAAGAACAAGGGTGCACTAAAGTTAGCAAGTTTATCATAAAGTTAAATATAAATTATTTTGTTTTAAAAATGCCTAAAATTTTTCTTTAAGTATTCTAAGCAGCAAACATTAAAATATTTCCTGCTAAATGTAACCATACAGTTTATTCCACAAAATATTATTTAACAAGACTGAAGTTGTCTTTTTTTTTAGAAGAAAAATTATTTCCATCCAATATTTAAAGACTTGAATTTTATTTAAACTTGAAAATGACTTTGCCTTAACTTTTGTATAAGACAGTGTAGAGCTCATGGAGACCGGCCGCTGGGTTGGCAGGAGAGGATCAGAGTTACTCAGTTACGTGCAGATCTCTCGTCGATAAATCTTCTGAGTAAGCATATGGTAGTACAAGAACTAGCAGGTTTTGTAATATACCTTACAGATCTTCAACAGTTGATCTTTTTTCAGATTGTTGAAAAATTCTGTAAATGCAAATAGTCGATACTGTATTAAATATGTGCACTTGGGAGTGTGCTTTGCTTGTACAGTTGTAAATAATCAGAACATATTAAAAAGGTACCCTACAGAGAAAAATCTGATAAAAAATTATTGATATATTATAAATGTTGAGCTGGATGTAGATAAACTAAATGTTGTGGTTTGAATATTATTTTAATTTGTTGAGGTTTTTTTTTTCTCATACTGGTGTGTGGAACTGATTCTGCCTCTTTGCTGCAAAAAGAAAATGGAAAGTCTTACTCAGAGCATCCAGATGTTTCCATACTTGTAAGAAGTATGTAAATAAGTGCTAATCATATCTAATGGGAAATGGTTTAGAACTATAATTTGGAAAGCAGAAACTGGCAGTTCCTTCAAATGAAAGTAAAAAATAATCTTCTAATTAAATCATATATTGCTAAGTGTGATTTATCCTGCCAGGGAAACCATGCCTGATGTATCAATTGTCATTATTTAAATACATAGAAACATGCAGTGCTAATATGCTTCAAATGCCTGTTAAAGAAACATGGGAATTAATTTTTTTAGAGTTGTCAGATCACTGACAAAAAAAAGTCAGAAATAATTGATGTCTTGAGCCCAGACTAACAGATTGTGTAGACACTGGCGGGTCCTTGGGGTCCCATCTTGGCTGGAGGAGGGGCCAGGGCAGGGTCAGCCGTCCTCTCGTCTTCACCCCCAGCTTCCAGTGCTCCTGGAGTTACGCCTTTTAGAGAGATGCTTTCCCAGGCATGAGCATGGCAGTGCCACAAGTCCGTGTGGGTAGAGCCAGCTGTTCCTCAGCAGCTGCACTCAGGGGCTGTGGGCATGAGGCAGGGGGCACCGTGGCCAGGCCGCCACTGCTGCTCGGATGAGTTGGACACTTTAATTACTGCTTATCAGTGGCACAGCCTGGCTCTGGGAGCTGAAATCGTGCTTGGATATCTTTTTAATTAATAGATATGCCAAATAGCTATATGATGTCAAAAAATGATAATATGATAATACTCTTTGAGATTTTCCACTCAGAAAAAAATGGGAATTTTTGACCATAGGAAGTTGTGAGGGTGCATGTGGACTCTTGCTCTGTCACATACAGCTAATGACATGTGGCTTTCATACTTTTTAAATTTTCTTTTAGTGTCTCAGGTTATAGAATCAGAGATACCGCAGTCACAAATGACATTTTAGCTTGTAAAATTGTGTGATGATACCTTATTCAAATGTTGGAAATATAGGAATAAGAATCTGGCCCTGATTCACCAGACATGAATTTTGAGTAATTGCTCTCTTTAAGAGTTGGTGTTCTGATTGATGCCTCTGGTTGGTCCCTCCTGTCACTGCATCACTGGTGGCCACTTGTAGGTGGCTCACACGTCTCATATTGCTGTACTCGTCAGGATTGCTGCCGTTGATACGTAGGAACTGGTTTGGTATATCACAGCAAATGACAAATGGTGCAGACCTGTCTTTGTACCCCTTCCATGAGCTGTAGTTGTGGGTTGTGTGCTTTGTAGCCTGGTATATGGGAAGCAGCAGACAATCGGATTCCAGGGGCACTGACGGCTGCCGAGTCACAGTGGGCGTGTGGTGTGGAAGCTTTCTTGAGGGATTTTGTTTTTGTTCTCCTTTTCATTAAGACTGGAATCAAGCGTACATGTAAACTATTGGTAATTTAAGTTTCCTTTTGTGTCCTTCAGTGTAAAACTGTCTAATTTGGAAAAAAAATGTAGGTTATGAAAAATAAAGATTTAGGCACTGTTCAATTTTTCTTTTGATTTTTTTTTAAATTAAAAGTTTCCTCATGAATGCATCTTTTTAAAAGTGATTTTATTCATTTGTTTGTTTATTTTGGTCTCTCCATCCGTGTACATGAGGACAGCCCGTGGGTGCCAGCCTCAGTCTAAGTGGCTCCCCCACCCTGTGCAAGCATGCACACGCACGCAACTGTGTATTTATATGTATGTGTGTGTTGTGTGTGTCTGTATGTGAGTGTGTTGAGTTGACCATACTAAGTAAGGCAGAAAGAGCACTCACATCAAGTCTTGTGGCAAGTCAATCGTGAAGCCCAAGGATTACCACAAACACAGTTGTCCCTGGGTGGGGACTGTATTTCTCTTCCACAGTTAGCTGCTGCTGTGTCACATTATCCTCCTTTTTTAGATCATGGACATTACCCTGCAATCCCATCCCAGCAAAAGGGCCAAGGACAAGGACGGGTATGACTTCTTAGAAAGTTTTTTTGTTTTTTTTTTTGTCGGTCGTGGGGCTTGAACTCTGGGCCTGGGCTCTTCAGCTCAAGGCGAGTGCTCTACCATTTGAGCCACAGCGCCACTTCCGGTTTTCTGGTGGTTAATTGGAGTCTTTCCTGTCCAGGTTGGCTTTGAACCACAATCCTCAGATCTCAGCCTCCTGAGTAGCTAGGATTACAGGCATGAGCCACCAGTGCCCAGCTTAGAATGGGCAAACTATCTGATTAAGACATTGACTCACTGATTTGCCTTTTTATATCTTATTTTCCCATTTTTCTACTAGGCTTTCTTTTTCTTACTGAGTTATCTCTTGTGGCTGTTAATCTTCTGTTACCTATCTTACAAATATATTTCAACCTACCTCTTGTCTTAACTACAGTTACTTTTTTAATATAGGTGGCAAATTATTATAATTATGTATAATTATATTTATATATCGTAATATAATAATTAGTAGGTCGTAAAACTTACTAGTCAGTCTTCCTTTGTGGTTTGATGGTCTTTGACTCTTAAAGGAGACCATGCGTGTGGTTCACTCAGTCTTAGCTGCCTGAGATATACTGGGTAGATTTCTATCCTAGTCACATCCAGGCAGAAAGCTCATTAGACCTCTTCTCGATCCATGAATGCTAGGCGTGGTGGAGCACCTGTCATCCCAGCTATGCAGGAAGCAGAAGTGGAAGATTATGGTCCAGGCAAAAAAGAGAGACCCTATTCAAAAAATAACATGCAAAAAGATCTGGTTATGTTGCTTAGTTGTTGGCATACCTGCCTAGCAAGTACAAGCAAGGCCTTGAATCCAAATCTCAATACCACCAAAGAAATACGTAATCCAGGGCTGGCTGGGAATATGACTTAGTGGTAGAGTGCTTGCCTAGCATGCATGAAGCCCTCAAGTCAATTCCTCAGTATCACACACACAGGCCAGAAGTGGTGCTATGGCACAAGTGGTAGAGTGCTAGCCCTAAGCAAAAGAACCTCAGGGATACTACCCAGGCCCTGAAGACTTCCTTTGTATATGTCTAATCTGATTAGGTAGAGCTTGTGGGAGGTTTCTTTTCCTAGTGTCACATCCCTTCTCCCATCTTGATCTGTAGTACTTGATCTGTTTCCAGGCTCACTCTCCGGTACTATTTTCTGCCTTTGTTGTGACATCAGCACAGTGCACCCGTCCTGTGTCGCTGAGTTTCACAGAGCTCGCCATGGTCACAGTGCCTCGTGCATTGCTATCCAGGAACTCAGGGATTGCGTCCATCTTGAAGATCATCTCTATACACTTAACACAGGAGATGAGTGGTAAGAACTTGAAGGCTTCGGGGCACGCGCCTGCCTCTGGAATTGCAGAGGGTGTGGTTTTTGGTCAGATAGTGCCACTGAAGAAATCTGCAAACTTAAGTGGCTTGAGATGATCCTCAGGCTGCCAAAGCTGAGCTCGGCTTGTCCTGTGCCGGCAGGGTGGGCATGTGGGGCCTAGCAGCTAGAAAGCCAGCCTTTCCACACCCGAGGCCAGCAACAAGCCTTGCCACCACATTTGACTCTTTCCCCCCATGAAGGAAGTTTGAAGCAGAGTGTAGCCCAGGCGTTAGGGTAGCCACGGCTTTTCGTGTGGAAATCGTGTCTTAAACCATTGGATCCAGCCGTTGGTGGAAGTACCACAGCAGACTGCTGTGTGGGCACCCGGCCTGTGGGAGCCATTTCTGCCCCGAGTGACTTGGTCTGCAGTGTATGTGAGCTTGGTGGTTTGCTGTGTCTGCTTCACTGTGAGCCCAAGGCAGTTAACGGAAGGGAGGGCACAGCCCAGAGGTGACCTGGCCAGAGACTGCCCTCCTGTCCTCACATCAGGAGTGGACAGGAGGCACGCCACAGCGCAAGTGCAAACAGACAGGTGTGCACCAGGGTTGAAGGCAGTCAGCTGGGCCTGCAGATGCCATGAGGCTGCCTGTGAACTGAGCAAAGGCCACATGCGATTGGCCACCGGCCCCATGGACTTGCAAGAGCCCCTTGGAGATGGCCCCGCACCCCATTGCAGGCTTCCCGCCAAGAGCAAGGCCCCTCAGATAACCGTGTACCCCGGGCCTGTTTATTGAGCAGATGGGTCCCTCTGGGTGGGGTGCACGTGTAGTCATTTGTGTTCGTGTAGGGAGGGCTGTGGGTGCTGTGTGAATATGGGAACAAGGCGAGGATTTAGGGCAGGGCAGGAAGGGTTAGCCGCCAGGCTGCGCCTGCTTCCTAAGAAATACCTTTAAGAGCCCCGCACCACCTCCTCCTCCTCCTCTTCCCTTCCTCTTCTTCCTCCCTCCCTCCCACCCTCCACACAATGTGAGGTGTTGGGGTTTGGCTGTTTACCAGGCCTCACTCTCCGGGTGTGCAGAGGTGAGCAGCTGTCTTCCAGATCCACCTGGACCAACCCAGACAGCAGCAGCTCAGCTAGTGACTACAGTACTTCCCTGGGTGGCAGCAGGGGGTGAAGTCCCTGGGTCAGTGGAGCTAGAAAGATTCTGCCTAGCACTTTCTGCACCCCTGGAAAGCACAGTGCTTTTTTGGGGGGTGGGGGACGGCAGGGATCTGTACTGCTAGCCCTGGCCTGGGGGCAGTGTTGGCAGTATTCTAATCAAGTTGGGCTGGGTTGACAAACTATCACTAGAGAGAATGCTCGTAGCTCCTCAAAGCCCCAGACCTGAAGCCACTAAACATCTTTCCTTTCTTCTGTTTGCTCTACCTTGCTCTTTGTTTCCTAGTTTCTTTAAGAAAAGTACTGAAGACTATTGAACCATGATCTTTTTTTTTTCTTTTTCTGACATGAGCATTTTAGTGCTATAAATTTCCTCTCAGCACCTCAAACTACATCCTAGTTCTACGTTCTGTTTTTTGGTATTTGTTTTCCTTTTGAGATGTCTCCTTTGGCTCATGGATTATTTAGAAGTATATTACTCAATTTCCAGGTGTTTGGAGATGGTTCTGTTATCCTCTTGTTAGTGATTTCTAATGTTCCATTGTGTCCAGAAAAAGTCTGTGTGCTGAAGGTTTTATGGTTTTGATGGGGCACAGTCACCTTGGTGAATGTTGGGCCACTTGGCTAGAACATCACTCAGTAATCTCTCTCTTGCTGCTTAGTGGTTAGGTGTCTCTCACTTGAGTAAGTGTCCAAGTTCCCATCTGTAATGAAAGGCAGGTCTACCCTCATTTTGTTTGGTTTCTTTCCATTTAAGTAGGTTTTGCTTAACATATTTTGAAGTTCTGTTTGATTCATGCATGTTAGAGATTTCTCTGTTGTCAGATTGCTCCAGTAATCTCCCTCTTGGACCCTGATACAAAGACTCTTTTCTAAATTATCAACTTGCCTCTCAGCAGCTCACAGCTATATTCTGGTTCTATGTGTTGTTTTAAAGTTTCCTTGAAGCTATCTTTCACTCTCCATTTGCTCCCTGTTTCTTGCTGCTCTGTTTCGCTCTGTTTCTTTTGCTTGCCTTCCTGAGCATTATAACTTGTTGATTTTTAATCTCAACCAGAACTTACTATGGAAGAAGAAGGGACTGGTGTTCTGTGCCCGTCAAATGACCACCTCCAGATTTGTTGCTGTCCGGGGCATGTCATAGCTCACAAACCATTTTTTTTTTTTTTTAGGTCCAGTCATGGGGCCTGAACTCTGGGCCTGGGCGCTGTCCCTCAGCTCTTCAGCTCAAGGCTAGTGCTCTACCACTTGAGCCACAGCGCTTTTTTCTTTTTGTTTATGTGGTGCTGAGGAATCAAACCCAGGTCCTCAGGCATGCAAGGCAAGCGCTCTACCACTGAGCCACCTTCCCAGCCCTCACAAACCATCTTAAGCATGTTATTTGAACTCTAAACCCAGTTCCTTATTTTTTGAGTGGGATTACAACAGGACCTCCAGTCCGGGGCTGTTCAGAAAACAGTGAACGTTTGGGATTGTACCCACTCCATGGCCCAAGTTCTCTGAGAAAATTTCTCTCCATGGGCAGTTTGCTCTTGGGCCTCCAGTGGTTGGGTAATCAAATGGAGATCTAAGAATACAAGTTTCTGGAAGAATCTTTCTTCTGTAGGAATCACCTGATGGTCTTCCCTTTTCTTCTGTGTGATCTGGGTTGGGTGCGAGTGAGACTAAGAGGCAGCAGTCCCAAAGCCAAGGCTCGGCTTAGAGCTCCTGCAGTCACAAGGGTGGAGTCAGCGGTGTCATAAAACCTCCGAGTTGAACCCAGTCCTGCTGCCAGAACTTTCCTTTGGGATCTTCAAGTGTGTGTCCCAACAGGCTCCTTTTGGCTTAAGCTGGCTCGTAGTGGGCTTGTTGTTTATAACAATATGTTTCATAAAAGATATGGAGGAGTCGATGAAGTCCTGTAAAGTACTTAGTGCAGTACCTGCCCTGATGACCTAACACAACTCTCATTGAGACCCAGGTGCAAAGGGCAGGATGTGTGTTTGTCTTGGGAATGTGGCATATCAAGTCCTGAACGCCCCTGTTCTCACCCACATGCTGCTGAGGGGCAGACGGGTGTGGG